ATCTTCAAGAAGAAATCATGCCCTGATTGAAGGTATACGAAAAGAATAATTTTCTAGTTATCCCCTGGAACATTATAGTGTACACATTGTCTCTGATGTTGGACTACAAGTCACCTGGCTACCCCAAGTCCTACAATTTGCCTGGCTATCACAAGTCCTACAAGTCGCCTGGCTACCACAAGCCCTACAAGTCGCCTGGCTACCACAAGCCCTACAAGTCGCCTGGCTACCACATCTCATAATTATGTTAATCTATTCTACTGTGGGGTGTATTTAGATGGATTAAGCAAAAATGTCTATATTAACATTTTATACAATATTCTGTTTCAGAGTGATTATCACTGAGCGATATTATTATCATTATTAATATGGCATCTTCAAAGACTAATAAGACACTCTTAGTGATTTTAATGTGTACCTGCATGCCAGCACAGTGTGTAAGTACACTTAAGTATAATTATAAGTTATAATAATAATGTAGGTATGTAGTCCGCCTGGGCTACATACCTACACCTACCTACATAGCTACTCGATATTTAATGCTGCCCAGAGCCATATTATTACCGTCGACATACCGTGTTCACTGAGTTTAATCGTTTCTAACAACTACCTTTAGATGCCATCATAAACAAAGAAGCTTGTACTTAATGAGTTTCCAGACATTCTCTGTCAGATATAACCCTTTCAGGGTCCATGCCGTAGATCTACGGCTTTACGTTCAGGGTCCAAACCATAGATCTACGCCATGAGCTCAGCTCACTTTGATAAGCTGTGAGTGGTAAATTTGGGCCTAGATATGAGAGAATACATCTATGTGGTATATGTGCACCACATAAAACAAATCCTGCAGCACGCAGTGTATAATGAGAGAAAAAAAACTGAGACTGTGATTTTCGATTAAAACAGCGACTTTGCAGTATTTTTTCATGTTTTTTATAGTTGTATATGCGATTTCTTTGTCTCATTTGATAGAATGGAAGACATTTTACAGAAATAGAGATGATTTTGATTGGTTTTCACACTGGAAATGGCTTGAAACTTAGCTCAAAGTAGCGGAAATATTAAATTTTTGCCGATGTTCAAGAGTAAACAAACAACTTCACATATCTGATACATGCCAGCTGGTGGGTCTAATATACATTCACAAATGTGGTGATGATATTTATACAATTATTACAATATTGCATATAACAGTAATTCTTCCTATTTTTTGGTTTTGAACTAAAAAATTCATTTTGTAAATAAAATTCAATCTGGTATTTATTTGTAAAGCTCACATATAACTAATGAACAGAGGAAATGTTAGTTTGTGCCAGGATACCTACATTGTTTTTCTGGGACCCTTTTTGAAATTGGAATATTTTTGAACTTTGTGTTAAATTGGCCCAAATTACAACATTCCGATCACATTATTTTGTAGTTTCAAAAAGATTGACTGGCGATTTCTTGTGCTCACTCGATAGAATAGAGTAATGCTAGTGAAATAGCTAAGAATTTGGTTGACTGGAATAATGTAATTGGCCTAAAATGGGAGTCAAAGTCGATAAAATCGCCGATTCGTAAATATCGCTGACACATTCAAAATTTGTGAGAGCATAATTTTGTCAGTTTTCCATCAAATATCATACTTTTTGTTTATTACCTTCAGAAAAAGATTCTCTACCATTTCATAAGAAAAAATAAAAATTTTTTTTTTTAACCCTTTGACTGTTTCAGGCCCCTCTCTGAAACTGTCATTCTATGTCGCTCAATTGAAAAAAAAAATTATTTTTTTCTTAATGAAATGATAGAGGAATCTTTTTCATATCCGATGGTAATGACACCAAAAGTTCGAAATTTTGGTCGAAAACTCGTGGAATTATGCTCCCGCGAAGTTAGCGGTCTCGGCGACATGTGCGTATCGGCGATTTCGCCGACTTTGAGCCCAATTTTTAGGCATTCCATTGATCCAGTTGACCACAACTCATAGCTATTTCATTGAAACTCCATTTTATCTATCAGCTGAGCACAAGGGCTAAACCTCCCATATTAATAATTTGGACTACCCATATGGTGGTCAGAAAATTGGCAATTTGGCCAATTTCACACAAAATAAAAAAAATGGCAATTTCAAAAATAGGGGTCCAGAATAAACAGGAGACATTCGTGGCACTTAAATACATATGCTTGTTCATTTAGTCACATCTTCTAGGCCCTCTTATATTGTTATTGCTTTCTATTTTGATTTTTTTATTACATCAAAAAAATACAAAATTTACTGTTATGCAGCGACTGCATGATTGTAAAAAATGGTATAAATAATATCAGTACACTAGTGAAAGAATATTAGACTCCCCAGTTGACGTGTATTGGACGTGTGGTGTGATTTATTTACTCTCGTGAACTTGGTAAAAATCGAACCATTTCCGCTACTTTTAGCTCAGTTTCAGGGTCGTTTTATCGTAAAAGTAATGAAAATCCATCTCTATTTCTGTAATTATGTTTTCATTTTATCAACTAAGACCATGAAAACGCGAAATACACACGATAAATACTATACGAAAATACCACTCAAAGTCGGCGTTTTATTCCAAAAAACGTCAGAGTTGTTTTTTTCTGCATTTAGCAATGTGTGTCTGCAGGATTTTTTTTTTATGTGGATGCCATGACCACACAGGCCATTATCTACATGTGGGCCTACCAGCTTTCTCCCACTTGATTTGAAGCCGCTAGAATTATTGAGTATATATACGTCAGAAACATTGGCTCGTAAGACGTATTTATATGTCGAAAACAGTCAAAGGGTTAAACTTCTTTGACCCTGGTGTGCACTTTGAAATTTGGCCTCTGGACCCTCAAAGGGTCCAGAGGCCAAATTTCAAAGTTATTTATGGTTGTATTGTAATTTCAAAGTGCCAAATCTCACTGTTGCAAGCCCATTTCTGAAACTGTCATTCTATGTTGAAAAATATTCGAAAAAATAAAAAAAATGTTTTTTCTTACCAAAATGTTAGGATTATTTTGCTGATTGTTTTAAGCCTAATTTTTTCTTTTTGTGATCATTACTTACTGAGATATAGAGATGTAAAGTTGACAGAAAATGAGCCACATATGGCAACAGCGGCAAATGCCTCTCGCCCGGTTAACTTTTTTATGCTCCCATTCAAGGTTTCTTGCATTTTCCACTACTTTATTTTTTCAGGTAACTTATGTGGCCTGTGAGACCAAAATAAGGTGCAATGTACATATATACACTCAATGGTATACAACACAATAAGTGCACAAACGTAATTATCAATATATTGTTTACAGAGCTTGTTTACATAAACAATACAATTTTTTTTTTATTACTACGTATTGTTCTATAACACATATACAAATGTACAATCACTGGGCATGCTCCTAGAAGTTCTGCAGCTTGTGGAACTCTTTGAAACATGGTGTCATACACAATGGTGTTTTACACTCCTCACACATAAAATGAGTGTCTGCATTTTTGTGGGCATTTTTTTTGTATGTGCACAGACAAAACACCTCATCCGAGCAGTTTTCTTCAAAGTAGTAGCAGACAGTTGTGTTAAGTAGTTATCCTAGGTAAATGGTCCTGTGTCATCATTCCTTCCTACCTCCTACCTACCTTTCTTTCTTTTTTTCTTTCTTTTTTCATTATTTCTTTCTTCATTCTTTCCTTCCTTCCTCCCTTCTGGTTACTGTAATATATATAAACATATATAGTCACTGGACACTTTCACAGAACTGCTATTATCTTCAGGTTGTGTGTGTGTGTGGGGGGGGCTTCTAAATGTCCTGAGTCAGGGTCTGGCAGCTGTCAAAATGATATGATATATCATTATTCACTCTCCCTACCACCTGTCAACACAATGGAGTCTGATGCTTGCTTCCCTTCCATCCTTCCTGCCTAATTATCTATCTTTCTTTCTCCTTTCTTCTTATTTCTTCTTCTTTCTCTTTCTTTCTGTTTCTTTCTCCTCCTTTCTCCTTTCTCTTTCTTTTTCTTTCTATTTGTCTTTCTTTTTCTTTCTCTTTCTCATACTCTTTTGTTCCTCCTTTCTCTTTCTTTTTTCCTTTCTCTTTCTCTTTTCTCTTTCTCCTTTCTTTTTCTTTTTCCTTCTTTCTCTTTCTTTCTTTCTTTCTTTCTTTCTTCTGGTATCCTGGGCATTGCTTTCGGTCACAAACTTCTCAAAACCATGAAATTCATCTTCACTGACACTTCCATCTGTGTTAGATCTATCACTTGGGAAGAGAAGAGGCCCAGAGGGCATTGCTTTCGGTCACAAACTCCTCAAAACCATGAAATTCATCTTTACTGACACTTCCATCTGTGTTAGATCTATCACTTGGGAAGAGAAGAGGCCCAGAGTCACTGGGGAGTCAGATATTTCTTACTGCTAGGCATGCTGAACAAGGAATACTGAAATGGCATTTCTACAATGCACCACTGGCTCTCCGATCTTTTTTAGAGTGCGCACACTGACCATGGAGACCCATTCTCTCACATATGGGCCTATCAGCTTTCTCCCGCTTGATTTGAAGCCATTAGAATTTACGCATATTAATACATCAGAAACATTGGCTCGTAAGACATATATATGGCCGAAACAGTGAAAGGGTTAAATCCAGCAGGTATGTGTGAGCGTGTTAAATAGGAGTGAATGGAGACAAATGGTTTTTGGGATTTGATGAGTTGTTGGAATGTGAGCAAGGTAATATTTTGTGAGGGATTCAGGGAAACCAGTTAGCTGGACTTGAGTCCTGGAGGTAGGAAGTACAAGGCCTGCACTTTAAAGGAGGGGCTTGCAATATTTGTTGTTTGGAATGACATATGAACTGTCATATCTGTGTGCCTCTGCAAAGACAGAGATTGTGAGAATGATGGTGAAAGTGTGTCTTTTTTTTTTTGAGTCATACTGTCTTGGTGGGAGATGGCCAGCATGTTGGGAAAATATAAATATATGTATGTGTGTGTGTGTGTATATGTTTAATTTTTTTTTTTAATGCAGATATTGTTGGAAGCTGGTGCAAATCCAGAAGGTAGCAGAAAGAATCGCTGCTCTCCATTGTTGATTGCAGTCAGAGATGGGTTTTCTGATGGTGTGAAGGTAAGCTTCATTTTTATGACCTAAAAAGAAGGATTTTTGTGGTATATATTAAATTTCTAATTACAGTAGACCGTCATTTAGCATGAGTTTATTTGGCATGAGTCAGGTATAGCACAATTGAAGAATTTGCAGCACAATATTATTTAACACTTCATAAAATTAATTTAACACGGTTCAGTTTGCGGGAGAGGAAAAAATTTTGAGCCCATGGGAGGGGAAACCTACTGCCAATCCCGCCACCCTCACCACCCCCTCAGCCTTCATTTCGGCTCGTATGCGTGTAGGACGCTCTTCTGGCAGCTCGCTATGTTTGTCTAGATACTTATTTTAATTGCTATAACTTAAATCTGCCAAGCAATCATAGCACCTAGTAGGCATACAAGTGTTTCTGAAAGTAGCAAGAAAAGGTTGAAGCGTGTAAGTCTAGGAATTACAAAGATAATCGAGATATTAGATAAGCTTAAGAGTGGCTCATGTGTGGTGGATATAGTGAGGGCCTATGACCTTAATGAAGCATCAGTTCGTGCAATTAGAAAGAACGAGGTGAATATACAAGCTTGTGTAATGAATAACCCAAGATGTCATCTCATGATAAGAATGACATGTAGGATCACACAAGGAAATAACAACCAGAAAAACTTGTTACTTGAAGGATCGAACAAAATACGAAGAAAGGTGCACCACTTAATTTCAACCTAATTAGGGAAAAGGCCTTACAGTTGCTTAAGGCAGTGTGTGATAAGGAAGGAAGGCCTGAAAACAAGTGTAGTTTAGCACAGGTTGGTTCCAAAACTTTTAATTTGCATAATAAGTTACACAATATTTAGTTTTCTGGTGAAAGTGCTTCAGTTGATCATACAACAGCAAGTAATTTCCCTGCTGAATTGCAGGAAATTATTTCTGAGAGTAGCTATGAGCCACATCACATGTTTAATGCTAATGAGACAAGTGTTTTTTGGAAGAAAATGCCAACACGAACTTGTATCAGTCAGCAAGAGAAAAGTGCACCGGGCTTCAAGACAGCAAAAGATCGCTGAGCCTTGCTCCTTGCACCTTGCATCAGGTGATTTCAAGTGTAAGCCCATGGTTATTTACCGCTCTGAGAATCCTTGTGCTTTGAAAGGTGTAGATAAAAACACCTTACCAGTAATTTGGAGGTCAAACCAGTCGGCATGTATGGGACAGAGGAAAACTTTTTGATGGTCTTAAGCATCATTTATTCCTGAAGTCAAAGTATTACCTGGGCACAGCAAGAACCTTGCATTCAGGCTTTCTTCATTCTTGATTAATTCCTGTTAACTCATCCACAAGCTTTGTGGATGTAAAACCTTATATTGTCAAAAGTTGTATATACTCCGTGGGGGATACCTAGATGGGAATTTTCCAAATTCCCTCTATCTTGTACCAACTGAGCCCACGGAAGTCACCGCGATTATAAAGTCACTCAAAAATAACTCAGGGAATCTGTCTCATGTCCCAGCATTATTGTACAAGCGAGCGGCCCATGTCCTTTCGCATGCTATTACATTACTTTTTAACAAGTCACTAAAAACTAGCACTTTCCCGACACTACTCAAAACAGCAAGGGTTACACCAATACATATGTCGTGGGGGTTCGTAAGGAGATAGATGGTTGAAGATAAACACACTTGTTGATGGTAACACTATATATTGTCAGACTGTCGTAAGGGAGGCCCAGCCTGCCTTGTTGCCTGTTGTAGACCTATCCGTGGACTGAGGAAGTTTCAGAGGTACTCACGCACACATGCACATCACGTGACGTCACACAAACTAGTCAATGCAAGCAAAAGTCAATATGAATCGAGCTGTCAGCATAGTTGCTGATCCCTTACATGTATATGTATAGCTTATCTGAGTATCATTGTACCAGCCGTATGTTTTATATACATGATCTCTTGCTAGGCCTAGGTACTAGTTTGTGTGACGTCACATGATGCGCATGTGTTAGCCATTGCAAAGGAATTCTATCCTCCCAGAGATGATAACCATTCTGCATATGTAAATCTTACTCTCGAAGAGTTGGGTTTAAATGTAAATAGCCTGTATAATTAGATGTCCAAGATGAATAAAGTTCTCAACTGTGTGATTTGTTATTAGCTGATCAGTTTTTCAGGAATTATTTTTTTTTGTGTTCACGTTCCCTCCGAGTTCTGAGAATTTAGCAGTAATAATCTGTGCGCGCCAGATTTGCCTTTGCTGTTAATTACTTTCACCTTTGTAAATATATTTATTCTTCCTCAGAATCCTTAGAGTGCATGAATACAGATCAATCGATCAATTCCATCCTTTATTGTACAATGAATTGTTCTTATAATTCGTAATTCATTACGTTAAAACTCATTATGTTTACATCAATTACGTTAAAATCCATTATGATACCATCCATTAGTTCTAAGTTATATATGTCTTTGTTATTGTATAGAATCAGCCCAGAGCCACCTGCCTGTTCAGCCTATAGCATAGTAGTGTATGGCGAGACGACATACGTAACATGACTGAGCTGTCAGCATAGTTGCTGATCTCTTACATGTATATGTATAGCTTATCTGAGTATCATTGTACCAGCCGTATGTTTTATATACATGATCTCTTGCTAGGCCTAGGGACTAGTTTGTGTGACGTCACGTAATGCGCATGTGTGCGTGAGCACCTCTGAAACTTCCTCAGTCCACGGATAGGTCTACAACAGGCAACAAGGCTGGCTGGGTCTCCCTTACCACAGTCTGACAATATATAGTGTTACCATCCACAAGTGTGTTTATCTTCAACCATCTGTCTCCTTACGAACCCCCACGACACATAAAGGTGGTGACCCTATAGATGTAAACAACTATAGGCCAATATCAGACTTATCATTGCTATCCAAAATCTTCGAGAAACTCGTGCACAGGAGACTACATTCATTTATAACGGCACAAAAAACATTTACTCAACCCCTGGCCAAGTTGGATTCAGGAAAAATAAAAGCACTAATGATGCAATTGTAAAAATGCTAGATCTGCTTTACACAGCATTGGAAAATAAGGAATATCTGCTAGGAATTTTTATTGACCTAAGAAAAGCGTTTGACACAGTAGGACCAACGGCATCCTACTCCACAAACTTGGACCATTATGGTTATAGAGGGCCATACGGCTTGCATATTTCAAATCCTACCTTACTAATAGGCGGGGCCGAGCTATCGTTGTCACCATAATGACACAGCCTCATCAACACGGGCCATTGATACTGTAGTTCCACAGGAAGTGTCTTGGTCCCCTGCTATTCCTCATTTAATTAATGATCTTCAAATGTCCCAACACCTGAAACCCATTCTCTTTGCTGCGACAATGACTTACATCATCTCCCACCCTAAATCTTGCCCACCTCAACACCATTGATCAATGAGGAGATGCTCAAAATTCTTGACTTGGGACAGCCAATAAACTTACACTTAACACTGACAAAACCTACTGCATTATGTTTGGTAGCAGAGCAGGTGTTGCACAACTTAACATTAAGATCGACGACACTCTAATTGCCAGACATAATGAGGGCAAATTCCTAGGTCTATACCTCGACAACAACCTAAATTTCAGCACCCATATCCAACACATAACAAAAAAAAGTATCCAAAACGATTCTCTCCAAGATACGATATTACGTGCCGCAAACTGCCCTTCTCGCACTATACCATTCGCTAATTTATCCATACCTCACCTATGCTATTTGTGCTTGGGGATCAACTGCAGCAACACATCTAAAGCCAATAATAACCCAACAAAAAGCTGCAGTAAGAATAATAACTAAATCCCATCCCTGGCAACACCCTCCCCCCCCCCACTCTTCATAGATCTAAACTTACTACCTGTTCAGAACATCCACACTTACTACTGTGCAGTCTACATCTACAGGACCTTAAATTCCAATATTAACCTTGACCTAAAACGCTTTCTTGATAGTTGTGACAGGACCCACAGGCATAACACCAGACACAAACATCTCTATGACATTCCCCGTTTCCGACTAAATATTTACAAAAATTCAATGTGTGTCAAAGGCCCTAAAATCTGGAACACCCTACCTGAGAACTCTAGAACTGCAGACACATTCATCACCTTCAAAACTACCATTAGAAAACATCTTATCTCCCTGATACACCCCGTCAACTAACTACATGTAAACCACCTGGTGGTTCACACTTACACTCACTCACCCATTGACTATAAACACAGAAATACGAATCTTAATTTTAAAATAATGAATCCTAACTAGTCATAAGTTTGCCTATGATACTCCAATATAGACACTATGTATTGTGCCAAAAGAAAAGCATTCACATTGCTAAACTCACAAACTATAATGTAGTCACTTAGCCTTAAAACCTTAATCTGTAATAATTTAAAGTTTAGAATTAATCTCAGTCTGCCCGAAATACCTAGCCATGCTTGGTGTCCTAGTGGCCTCCTCTGTAATTAGTATTTTAAAACATGTAAACCACACAATATTCAAAATCTGTAAACACTGCATTGTAATCCTTATAGAGAATAAACTTGATTGATTGACTGATTGATTTCTAATTCAACCACTGGATCAGGGAGTTATTAAGTTATTCAAGTGTAACTACACAAAAAAAGTTATGAAAAAACTAGTTGCATCAGTGGACTCAGACTCCAACTTGGCAGTACCAAGCTTCTGGAATAAATCTAACATTGCAGATGCTATCAGCTATGCTAGAAGTGCATGGAATGAAGTTCCCCAATCAACATTAAATGCAGGCTGGGGAAAGTTATGGCCTTCTGTAGTTAATTCTTTCACTGGTTTTCCCTTGCTTGAGAGTAAGGTTCAGGAAATTGTTCAGCTGGCAAGGAGATTACCAGGTGATGGTTTTGAAGATATGAATGAAGAAGATGTGAATGAGCTCTTAGAAGATAATGATGATGAAGACAGGAGTCCAGAGGAAATGTTGGCAGAGCTCGATGCACAGATACAAGGGAGGGAGATAACGTAAGAAGATGAAGAAGAACCTGAAGAAAAACAGTTAACATTGCAGCAGTTATGTGAGCAGTTGCAAACTTTTTCACTGAAGAGGACCCTGACAAATCAAGAATCAGTGCTTTGAAACGGGGTCTAGACCAGCTGATGATGCTTTACTGTCAGCTATATAATGTACTGCAGGGTAAAAGAGCCCAGAGATCCATTACAGAATTTACGCACACTCCAATACAACCATCGACTTCAGTACCAGAACCTCAACCATCCACTTTTCGTGACAACCAACAACCATCCATCTCAGCCCAGTAGGGCCACACCATATATATCCACTCTTCTCAGTCATCTACAAACACCATTACCCACAATTTAACCCCTTGACTATCACAACCCCCAATCCTGAAGTGTCTCCTGGTGTTGCAAAATTTAAAAAAAAAAAATTATTTTTTCTTATGAAATGATAGAGAATCATTTATTGGACAATGACATCATTTGTTTACTTTTGAACATCGGCAAAAATCAAACATTTCCCCTATTTTGAGCTCCATTTCCAGGTTCTTTTTATAGTAAAATCA